ATTGTGGAATGACGTGCTTGGCCTGCAGGACTTGCGGCAGACCCGGCGAATTCGAAGCATTCAACCCGTGGCCACCTTTAAACACCAGCAAGGACTTCGCAATTATCAAGGAGCAGCGATCCAAGCAAACCAAAGAAGTTTCATTCGAGGGTTTCCTTGGAGCGCTGCTACTTTGACTGGTCTACTTCAGATTAAATGGCCTATGAGCAGGGCAGACCAGGCTAATCCCGCAGCAAAGGCACTTATAGACCACCTAACAACTCATCCAACACTCGCGCTGCCCGTCTTTGAGCGTCAATAATTCGAGGCAGCTGACGCTAGTTCCGGAGTGATAAATGCTCTTTTCTCTCAACCAGCGAGTCCAGCTTCTCTGAAACACCAAATTATTTTTTTGGCTTTCTCATCCGTTCACTGAAGGCAAGCAGCGCTACCAAGTCATGAAAAAGAACTCTATGCAAGGTGGTGGGGGTCTAAAAAGTAGCCTCAATTGATGAAATCATTTTAGTGTCCACAGAGACCATCGTCCTTCAATGCACCATTCGGAGGGCTTTTATGACTTCGATAATCCTAAAGTTTTCAACCCTCTTGGGCGCCAGGTGCAGTATGATTCTATTATGAATGTTTCAAGCGCATGAGCAACGTGGTCCCTAACCCGCTTTCAAGACACCCAGGAGATTCACAACGCACAGTGCGGCAGCTCGTTTTTGTGATGCTCGACGGTCTCTATCGAAATTGCGCGTGTCCTGAGCTTTTGTAATCCATGTTTCCACTCCTGTTACCGAAGCATGGAATGGCAGAACCATAGAACACTAGGATGTTAAGTATGGGCCGGTCTGCTTTCAGAAAATGTGGGGTCCGCCGCTGGTACACAAAGACTTGGTTCCGCACTGCCGTTTTCGGCAAAGCATGTATTCATGCTCTTCCAAGCCATGGTAGGATTCATATTACAATGGAAAAGCTTTCACTGTCCTTCCGGTGGCCTGGGATGCGTCCCGGGGTGACAAGTAGACACTGTCATGCCCATGCTCAGGTTGCCACTGGCTGAGGCCCTGTAACACTCCTCAACCCGGCCTTTGGCAGCGTCTTCAGGCCGATAAAAGGGTTGAGATCAAAATATACTGTAATGAAATTTCTACTCCATTTTTGCATTCAACTAATAATAGTGAAGAATTGATTATTTGTTTGGCCTGTGCATACTCCTTATTCAATCAACAGTTTTGTTGGCTTCATACGACAAGACGCATTATGGTGTCCGTTCATGCGAGGTGCTATTTTCAGCCAGCTTAAATGCTCGCAGTGCCTACAGCATGCAACAGCGTGCATCCTAGTTGTCCCTATTCCCTCATATCATTGACTCTGAGGGTCGCTGGCATTGGCAAGGGGGACTTCTTTTTGAATACATTCAGTAACGTTGCATTAAGTTTGTCTTCATCCTGGAGATAAGCTTAGCCCTGTGAAGACCCTAGATGGAGCGTTACAGAAAACGCGTAGGTGTAGTTTGGAATGCTATATGGATTAGCATGTCTGCACGAAGATATGCCCGCGTGCTTCTAGGCATGTGCAATCCATTCTGTAGGCGAGTGCAGCTAAAAGGGGCTGACCATACTCATATTGGCCTGCTCCAAATGAGTTGCTTTGAATGAATGCTATCTTACCAATGGGGACGTATGCAGAAAGCACCCCACTGCTGATTTCATACGGCAGAAAGGTGTCTGAACGAACGCTGTTTCCCGAGATTCCAGTTCAAAGAACAACTCAAGATCGCACGTAAAGAGCCTGTATTGACAGGTATATCATCTGCCTATTCTAAAGAGCTGGTATACTTGTTGTATGCAAGACTCTGCTCGGAAGTCGCTTTCCCTCATGTTGGCTTAAAACACGTGGCCATGTAAGGCGTAGAACAAGGCTCTGATCCAATGATAAAGCACTTGTCTTCGCCCTGCCCAATGCATTTAAAAAAAACATTTCCGGCATTGTATGTTCCTTTACCTTCAAGTATTTCGATTTAAATGTCTTGGGAGAGTTAAAACAAGGGTCGGGGGTTCCGTTGTTGGACGATTTTCAGAACTACAAGCTGCAAAGATGCACCTTGTCCAATTAGTGAGAGTCATCACCACATATTTGCAGTGTTTTGTTGATAAGGTAGAACAGTTTTGTACAATTTACACGAAGTACGCCTGCGTATTATCCCTCTTCTTCGCTCCTTGCTGCTCTTCCTCCGTTGTTGCGCGAGAGTTCTCGATATTTTTCATTGCTCGTGCGTCACGTTTCCGCTTCTGTTGTTTGCAGCCCTCTCATCTTACTCACTGCAGCTCTCCAGGGTTGCGTAGCCCCGTTTCGCCCCTTACGATCAAGCCTTGCTGCGTGGGTCGTTGCCAGTACTCTCTCCTCTGCTAAGCTAGTTGGGGAAGGAGGCCCCGCTATTTGGGGAAGCAGGCCACGCCAGTTGGTAATCTACCAACCGGATACGACAATCGCTCGATACAGCCTGCAACCTCTGGCCATGCCCTATACACGGTTTTTTGTTTGGGCCCTTTTTGCCGCGGAGGCCTTAGCCCTGCTACAGGCACCGACTAGACTCATCTCCGCTGGTCTGCAAGAGGCTGACAGCAGCATGGACACACTCACGGGCTTGTTGGATGATTCCTCGATCATGGATAACGAATTCAACACAGCAAGCGACTGGAACATAGTAGAGGAGTTAGCCAATGATACACACTTGTTATCGCCTTCGCAAAATGCGGACCCTTTCGCAGCCCTCTCTCCGCTGCCAAAGAAGAATGCGAAGCGCAGTGTAGCGGCCATGACGATTATTGCTGCAGCCTGAGCATATCTACTTGGCAGTGTTTCTTACTTTGCGAACCGTTGCAGGTGAGGCGGTGAGCCCCTGGCTGCCTGGAAAGATGACTTGGATAACATCACAACAACAGTTATCCGCCTAGAGAACAGTCTAAACTACGCCTCCGTTTGCCTGCTCACGCTTGATGTCATGACTCACTTAGCGGCCATACACGCAGCGCTGCAGTGTGACACCTCCGTGTTTAGGCCGAGACACAGTAACAGCGTTACGAATGGGCCAAGGGTGCTGCCCTCTGGTGGACGCTCAGGAAGCGTACTCAGTGAGTGGCACAAGAGAATAGTGTTGGAGCAAACTTGGCAGCTTTAGAAGATGTCGGTTACCATGCTACACAAAATTCAGCAAGAAGCGCTGTATTTACCAATCAGCATTGCATCTTGCGTTTCTTCGGCTACGTCCTGCTTTTCTTCTCATCCAACAGATGAACTACACATGGAGAAGAAGCTGGCTATAGGGATATCTACAGAGGCCAATATGTATCTGGCTGCAATAAAGTTCATGATTGGGGGGCAGAGAGGCTGACGGAAGCACTGCCCTCAAACATGTCTCAGGCAGCGCAGATACTGGATTCTCTGTCAGGGCGCGCCAGGCGCTGCAAAGCCCTTATATCGAGGTGCAACGCTGCTGTTAAAAAACCCCTGCATGGGAGAAGCAAGCATGTCCAGCTTTGCTCGCTGGACTCCAAATGGATAGTTACAACCTACCGTGCGGCATCCAAATTCTTGCCTTGAAGGCTGCTGAGACTGCCGGAGAGACTAATTCCCAGAGCGTCGCGTTAGAGTATGTGAGACTTAACAAGGCTCAATTGCGGGCTGAGGCTGAGGCGGAGAAGCTGAGAGGGAAAACCAATATTGGGAATGCGATTTTACTCCTGAACGGGCTTAAGCAGGAGTCTCGGGAGGCAGGGGAGGCATTTGAAAGGATCCAAGGGGCACAGTTGTGGAACAAAAACAGTTACGCGTTCTCCACTCAGCGATGGCTTGAGTACATTCGTCGGCGGACAGGGCAACTGGCAAAGGTCGTAGCTCTCCATGCGATGGTGATTTCGCAGCTGGTCAGTGGAGTGGCTAATCTAGAAAAAATACCTGAGGGTGTGGAAGACCGGCGCTTGCAGTTAGCGAGGTTAGCAATACAGGCATTGCAGTTTTCCAAGGTAGTAAGAAGTCCTGTAACCGAGTTTTACTAGTTGGCGCAAGAAATAGCAACGTCAGAAACTCTGAAGCAGGCGGTGGCCATGGCGGAGAGGGCCAATGTACTGCACGCTGAGATCGTTAAAAATGCACGTGCTGTAAATCGCAGTGTGTTGGCGTACAACGCCTGGAGTGAGGTGGATGCTACGATGAGGAACGCAATAGCAATGATGCATAAATGTTTGGATGCGCTTAAAAAGGAAGATGAGGAGGGCCCAGATTTCCGGCGTGCCGTACAACTCGCCTTGGGCAGCAAGGCACACTTGTACATATGGAGATACTACAACTGTACAACGCAAATAAGGCTTGCCGCGCAGCAAGCACTAGATGTTATGAGTGCAGCCAAACGGCTGCAATGGTTTGGCATATCCCGTGATCTACAATTGCTCGCCTCTAAAGTGCAGACAAGCAGTAGACCCCAAACCCACAAATAGCAGAGTAATAGCATCCAGAGCAGGTGCAAAGTATGTACTAGTCAGTAATTTTGCATTTTGGCGAATAAGTGAACAGGTCAGGTTCATACCCATGAATCGAAGTTATGTTTTCTTATGTTATTCACTTGGATTCGTGCATACGCATATTCCAAATCTGTCTAGCTTGGCAAGCGTATCACTAATGCATTCAGCCTGGTGGGCTGATTTATGGATGGCCTGGCTGATGTAGGGGCCATGCCGTCGTACTGGACCTTCCTCAACAACAGTTACGCCATCTTCCAACTATTTTGGTGAACGAAGGGATTTCAGATATGGATTCATGCATATCACTGCTGGTGTCATGCCTAAAAGTTAAAAAGTGAAAAGCCTTTGTCAACAGAGTAGAACACAGGCAAATTGAACAGTGAATGAAGGCAGAAGATGCAGCGTCACTCCGGGGCCTTCATCTGGCCATAAGCTATCGGAGACATCTACAAAAAATTTACACGTAGGCAGAGGAAGGCTCTTGTTCCTAGAAAAATGCTGGGTGGTGATTCTCCTTCCCTGCAGCACGAGCACTTAGAGGAGCAGTGGGAAAACGCCGCTGCCGTTTTCGGCAAAGCACATATCAGGCTCTTTAAGAAAATATTGACAGACAAATCACAACAAAAAGCTGTTCGCGGTCATGCCAGTGGCCTGGGACGCGCCCCGCGGCGGATTAGACACTGTCGTCCACTTCGTCCGTAGCTAAGGCGCTACAATTCTCCTCAATCCGGCCTTTTGCAGAGCTTTCGGGCTACTCAAAAAGATTTTAACAGATCTGGCTGTTGTGAGCGCTGTTGCTAGAGTGCTGGGAATCAAGGCCCAGGATAGCATGTAAGCTGCTGTCAACAGACTCAGCAAATAGGCTCATTTCATCCCTTGCGCCAGCTCGGTGACCGCTCAATGAGTTCGCCAATTCGCTCCAGCTCATGTCTGAAATCTCCACAGATTCCGAAGCATTGCCACCATGAACAGAGGTCCGAAGTTGGTGATTAAGTTCTGGCGTCTGTATGACTCACCCTTGCATTGACTACGATATGACCACTGCAAATTACCCAGAGTAAGATGGACACACAGGGTCCATCGACAACAGTCTTCTGCACTATTTCCGCTCTGTGCTATCGCAAATTCAATTTCTTAGATTGAACTTTCCTTGGGATGAGTGACCTTATAATGCACCAGTGCACTTACCTAACCGTTGCTCCTCATAGTTTTGGTGTGCAATGAGGAGCCGCTCTTCGATTCGGGCCCGAACCTGGTGTGTCCAGGTTGGCAGCCACTACTCGTAGTGGAGAAAGTTGAAAGCCTCTAGCTATCGCACGCGAGTGTATGTACGAATCTCAGGAATGGCAATTATGTTATTATGACAATAGGCGGTCCGCTACACGCTGCTAGCCTGGGGACTTCGTACTGCCGTTTGCACGGCTGTTTTTGGCGGTTGTGCGTCCCTGGGTAGTAGTGGCGATTGGGGTTAAATCTTGCCCTATCCTGCACGCAGTGCATCTCATACTTACTTATGAGAAACCCGAGGGTGGAGTGTTTTGATATCGGCGGGATGTCATGGTGAGCCACCCCACGCTTACACACTTTCTACCAAACTAACTATCTTCTAACAAGTAGCAGTAAGCAATTAAACTGGCTGGCTTGTCTGATATATATATAAATATATATACATGTTGCCGCAATTGCAGAGAGCTCTCAAATGAGGATGCAGTGTTTAATGTGTATTGGCTAGAATCCATGTGTAGGCTGTGAATTCTCGGAGTGCTTAGAGGTTGCAGCAGCGCACACCGTGGCGTTCCCTCTCCCCGTAAGCGAGAACCTCCAGGAGAGCGGGTCAGGATATAAGGCAATGTTTTTGAAAAACACTCAATAACCTCACATCGACTTTGCGTTGTGTTTCGGACCTGCATACGGAAATCTAAATAGAGCTGTACAGGTAGTATCTAGCGCGCAGGCACGCAGTAATGCAGTTTGGTGTATTCAGCTGAATCTGCTTCGCAACAAGTAGGATATCTAAACAGCGATACCAAGTAGTCTATTATGCTCTAGTTCCTAGTTTCTAGTTCCTGGGCCAATAAAATTGTTCGAGAATAACTATGGCAACCCGCTGCTTCAAGAAGCACCAGTTGCACATAGTCTTCTAGTGTCGCGCTGAGGCAAGTTGCAATCAAAAAGTTACGGACACTATCAGAATAACACGGCCGACTCGTAATTGGGCTTTGGTTGAACGTTGCCTCGTCTCACGGTGACAGTTGAAGTGTAGCTCTGCGGGCTCCAAAAAAATTGTAGACGCCAGGGATAGTGACTAATTTACAGGAAGACGAGAGGTGCATATTCTGAACAAACAATAATACGGATCAAGAAAGGAACCCTTTACAGGTTCACTAACTTTAATTAAAAATGTGGGAGCTCTGCCATGCTCATCGCCTCGTTCACAGAGCCCTCCGCGTGGGTGGGTTGCTCTGTGCATGCGTCATTTAGGATTAAACAGTGTTATTCGAGGTCGGAAAAATGTTTACCGGGAGTCTGTACCTGCTGTATCCCGGAGGATATGCATGGCATTACATCCCTTGTTTTGCTGCTTTTTTCCCACAGTCTCGGTAGCAGCCTGGTGTGTCTGAACAAATGCTGCCTAATACCAGCCAAAAGAACACGCTAATGGGGCAGAAGTCACCTTGTTCCATAAACTTGATCCTGTGTTCTGGAAATTGAAACATTATCGCTGCGTGTACTTGCTTCTAGGCTCTTGGGAAGATCGTCAAGAAGGCTGCATGTGTGCCACTCGTGGAAAGGGCTCACCCTTGCTTCCTGTCGTCGCACGACTCTGGTGTTGCGTCCTGCTCTACGTCTTTTCCAGTTTTAGTCGAATGCAAGAAGCGTAAAGTTGCTCATTCGGTCGTCGCTACACACTTCCCACCGAGGTCATTTGCAACCGTCGTCCCTCAGGCAAGAGGGACCCAGCATTCAAAAGGCCAGTTGCACCATTCAACGGCACACAAAATGCCGAAAACAGCCCTTGTTGCCCTCGTAAGTTAGCGATACTTTAATGGGGGCTAACCCTGGCCCTTCGTGATTTTTTTTGTAGTGCCTTGGATGAAGACCCACTCACCTCTGCACGGATGTAGGTTGGAATTGAGGTTTTTCTACCTGGTTTGCTCGTTTTGAGCTGTGAATTTACCGTCTGCTAGGCACAATTGAAACCACAGACAAGATAAAGTGTACCGTGATGCTGGTGGATGCTCTGGATGTGACCTGCAGGCTGTCATCCGTTGTGCTGTACCTTGGAAAACCGTTCCTTGTATTTGTATATTGAACTTTTCCGGACGTGCTGCTGCAGGCAAATGGGGCAGAAGACATCGAATTTATTACTCCCGTGGACGTTCTGCGGAGAGCAGGTATTGTGATGTGCTGTTCTTCGTTTCGACCGTCCGCAGTTAGCTTGCTGATTCAACCGTGCAGAACTGTCATCATTTGAATGGATTTATGGGCTTTCGTGTTATCGTTCAGGCTTTAAGGTCGTGGTTGCCTCTGTAGGCAATCATATGGCGGTAAAGACGGCACAGGGCGTGCACATTGAGGGCGAAGTGCTCCTGAAGGATATCCCAGAGTCGAAGCACTTTGATGTAATCGTGATTCCAGGTGGTAAGCGCCAGCTGCTTCCAAAGCAGCTTCAGCTCAAGGTACTGCTGTCTTCTTGTGACGCTTGCCACATAGAAAATACCCTCGATAAAAAGGTGCTAGGCTCTGGATGTATTCCTTTTTGTGCGTGAGAATGAAGCATACTAATTCGCTACGTATCATCGCATTTTGTGCCCTTGGTCATTTCTTATAGGCAGCAAGGGTGCTGAAAACTGCCGCGATTGCCCCCACCTCACTCAGCTGCTAAAGGCGCAGCACGCTGCCGGCCGTTGGATCGCATCGATTTGCGCATCTCCTGCTGTTGTTCTTGCGCACCATGGCATCCTAGATGATCATAAAGCAGTCGCATATCCTAGTTTCCAGAACGAGCTGAAACACAAGGGAAAGGGACGTGTCTGCGTGGATAAGCACATCAGTGAGTATCGCATCACCTACTTTTCAAGATTTTTTGTAGGGCCTCGCATGCAGCGCTCACGAGGCCGTAAAATGGTGGTTGGGGCTCAACAGTGCTGCATCACCTTTTTCCCCGCAGTGACCGCATTTTGGATGGCTAACGAGAGTGTTGAGGTTGCACCTCCCATATCGAGTAGCCACACAGATGGTTGTTTGCAAGAGTTTGTGCCGATTGTTTCTTTTCTTGTCCCTTCTCTCGTTATTTTTTCAGTCACATCGATGGGCCCTGGCAGCGCTCTGGAGTTTAGCATGGAGATCGTAAATTGCCTTTTGGGGGAGGCGAAGCGTGACGAGCTTATGAAGGGCATGTGCGTTGTTTGAATGGATTCCTTGAGGCTATGCGTATGTAAGGGTCCCCTAGCTTCTGGTCTGAGCCAAACACCACCCGATACTATGGTAGTGCATCGGGTAGAACTTGCTAGCTACAGGGTGTCCTCTGGTCCAACCGCGGGTTGGCTACTATTGCATGCAGCTGCTGTTCCGGAGTAACGTTCATGTGGCTTTCGGATCTGACTAACAAAAAACACTTGTTTTGATTAGGGGTACCATCAGCATGTAGAGTAACGTTAACCCTAGTGGGTTATGGAGCCATCATTCACCGAACATTACGGCGGCATATGAATTAGCCAACTTGAAGGAACTTTGCTTGAGGCATGCTGTATTTACACTGCTGCCTACACATGCATAAGACCTTAAGCATAATCCTATTTGCCCTGGCATGAGCACATGGAGTACTGTTTAAAGTCCGGGTTCCTTGGGAGCTTCATCAGCAACAAAAATAACGTATTAGGATGGAGCGATATCTGGATCCGCTGTAAGGCCCAAAGGGGTTCGTGTATAGGAAAGTTTCAGCAGTGGCTAGTTGGAGTGTGATAACTGAGTTTAGTTGATTTTGGAGTAACAATTGGTGTTCAATTGTTTATCTGTACGCTCATTTTCCCACTAGCAGGGGGAGTTTGCATGCAAGATCTAACTTGCTTTGCACCAGCGTAGCCTACTACGGGTGGTACACTGCATCTGAAATAAAATCATTTTCAAGATAAATAGAAGAAGAGATGTTTCCATCTCGACTAAAGTTTAGCCTCTGGAGTCTCTTGGTAAAAAGCATGAATTAATTAATAAAATAACCGAACCATTTCGTTTATCATAGAAAATATTCTATTTCAAAATGATATTTTCCTATTTAAAGTAGTAGTATTAGTATTCAAATTTAAAGAACAATTTTATTTTCTGATCAGTTAATCCTATTTTTTTCAAAATCTGCTTAAGGAGCAGCAGGGCGTCAGCAAGGGCAGAAATGCTTATGTATTTCTCTTGCTGCATGTTGTAACGCTTCTTGACGTGCATGAAGCGGTAGCATTCATGCACGATGGCAGCAAGCCTTGGCTCACGGCTCCTTGTGAAGCCCCATATGTAGTCCGTGGTCGCCTACTAGCCGATATGTTGCTAATCCGTAGGCAAGGCGACATGGTTTAGTCCTTGAATCTCTTTGAAAGATTTTAAAGGCCAACGCTGCATCATAGTCTGTAAGATCCTATTTTTAGCACTCGCCACTACCTTTCAAGGTATGTGAGGAGATTCCAGCCAGTAATACAATTTCCCCTCAGAAAATTGAAACTAGACGGGAGCGGCATGAACTAGTATGATTCATGACGCAGGACTTCTCCCTTCGTAGAACCCTTCAGAGTTACGCTTATACTGAATTAGTAATACGCTTATTACCCGACAGATGCTCTAATATTCGTCTAATAGGGTTCTTTAGACAATGGGCTATAAATCCTTAGGTACCCGGCTATGCTACACTCGCACACTTCCTGCTACAGTAGTTACATTCAGATATGAATAAGTATAGAATTACTCGGTGTCTGTTAGTATATCTTATGAATTGCAGACTACTACTCGATACAAAACAATGCAATGTGGTGTGCGTGCGCGCTAGATGCTTTGTGCAACTAGCCTTGAATGGTCGAAGTGCTTTCACTGTGCAGCAATAGCATACTGCCTGTCACACACCCCTCATGCCTGGACCCTGAAGGGAGCCGGCAGGGGGAGAAGGGAGCTGCTTTGGATGAACATTTAGCCATTTTGTATGGTGTTCATGCTGAGTCTCGAGTGAAGTGTTTCCATACATAGACAGATGGAACGCCACAGTTGGTAACGCTGCATGGTTCGACGCAGCGGTTCCCCGCTCATCCGCTGCCTCTGGATGCGGCCGAATGTGAGGCTTCCAGACAACGGTTGTTCGCTTTGCATCAAGCTACTTAGGTTTCAGTATGCTGAAATTCTGGGGCAACCTTCTGAGAGAAAAGGTTCTATGTCGCCTTTTAGGGTGAAAAAGGCACAGTGCAGGTTGGGGTAGCCGAGGCCCACACGAAAACTTATTTGAATACACTAGCCATACGGCTAGTATATACGCCCTTTTTTTCCCTCCAAGGAACTGCTGAGAATGTGCTGATGAGGCCATGTGGACTAGCAAAGTATGGCAGCCGTAGGGATGAGCAAGCACCTCAAGATTTCATCAGCTTGTTGGAGCTTTACATCGGTTCGCACCATGTAGAGTAATGGCTTCAAGGTTTTTCCTGCGGCATTTTTCCCGGAAGAAGCAGCATTCCACTGGCGGCACTCACAATGCCGAAGAAGTAGTCTGTTAGCACTAAGCACTAACCCATCAGTCTATGCCGAGATAAGCTTGGCAACAACCTTCAATATAACTGAGGGAGCAGGGGTGGGGGCCGCCAATAATAGATTGATATGCCGAGCACTAAGGAGTTTTGGTTTGCAAAAGCCATTTCGTAGACAAAAAGCTACTCTTTCAGTGATTTGTGTTCGGTGTACCCGAGATGACATGTCCTGTGGTTGAAGGATGGCCAGCTGTCCACGGATTGAACAATCATTTGGCAAGTCTTTCACAACTGCTGCGTATTTAGGATTCTAGGGGCAGACGAGCGCAACGTTTCTTTGGTTCAATAGGCCAAGCCAAGGCGGGATTTAAAACCTGTGGATAACAGGACTGTAAACCGGACCTAGGCTACAGTCTAGGGTGAACAAACTCAAAATTTTATCGGCGTGCCCTGCTACGCAGCGATAGACCGCCGCAAACAACGCATCTGTTCTATCGTGGGATGTTGGATCGCACAGTCTGGAACTGCAAGCCCATGCAAACGGCCAACGAATTAAAAGAAGGGGACTGGGCCCAACGGAAGCGGGCTGCATGGCGAGCAAAGACGCCAACCACGTAAATAGAAAGACCCACACGCAGCCCGCAGCGCAGTGGAGGGGGCTATAAAGAAGAGAGCTGCAGTTGAGGACCCGCTACAGGTCACCTTTAAATTGAAACAAGCTCTATTTAGTGATAAAGACTTTTTGGCGTTACTTTCCATTAGATGTGGAGTGGTTCTGCTATCCGAGGAGACGGCGTAAAAGTGCAGTGCATGCTTATTCTTCAGCACAGTCCCCTACACTTGTGCTTGCTGACAAGTAGTATTTTGCAAGTATTAATGGATGCCACTCCAAATCGGAATAAAATTCCACCAGCGTGGTTTCGTGCCATCCGTGTGTAGGACCTCTGCACTACCATATAAGGAAGAAAGTTTCAGGTGTAGTCTAGTCGACTACATATTCCCCTGACTTTTCAAACACGCTGTCCCTCGTGTTCCATGCCTATTTTGTCGAGCTACAAGCAGGACAGTTGAAGAGTTCCCTGCCTGTCGTCACTCCCCAAGCCCGTAGAAAGGCGAAAACAGTGTTCCAGGTAGCAAAAAACTATGCATTAGGTATTCCAATTAGATTAATGGAAAATAGACACGCACACCTGCCATCATTCGAAAAACGACCACGCAACACGACCATCGGGCTGCGATGGCTCGCTACCATGGGAGAACTGAAATGCGTACACCTCCCGATACGAGAAAAGAAAAGGAAATCAAGCTACAAAATGCCTCAGCAGTGCCTCCGCCCCCTTTTAGAACAGTGTTTGCATACAGAGACAGTCGGTGCATGCAGCACAGTCGATTCTAAAGCCTAAACAAGGCAAGAGGAATAGTGCGTTTCCAGCATACCGGAGAGGGACCTCGCATAGCTCTGAATGGAGAGAGCACTCTGGTGCTGGGAAAGGGGAAGGATGCAAGCAAATCCATGTACAAAATGAGCTTTTTAAAGCAGGCACCACTAGGAAAGGACAATCACCAAGGTGCACAGACAATCATGCCACCAACCGCTCCTGCTTACGCACTGGCGTTGGTCTCTCGACCCCACTTCACTAAACACTGCAGCTTAGTAATTCGTCGGCTCTCACTAGTCGTGAAATCCAGCTCTTCCGCGCTTCCTACTTGATCCTCCGTCTCCACGTAGGTCACTTTTCGCGGGGAACAGTCCACAAAGGATTCACGGAGTTTGCAAACTGTTTTTAGTAAGTCAATAATGATGCTTCGGTGGAAACTCCCACCATTGAACGCAATAGATAGTAATAGGAAGAGCATTAATTTTTGCGAGGATAGCAAACATTCCTAGCCACTGGGCAGCAGGGACCATTGTTTGGCTACCTTGTGGTCCGGACTGCCGTTTTACCGGGACCACATCTCCAGGCTAGCAGCGTGTAGCGACCGCCTATTATCGTAATAACGTAATTGCCATTCCTGAGATTCGTACATACACTCGCGTGCGATAGCTAGAGGCTTTTAACTTTCTCCACTACGAGTAGTGGGTGCCAACCTGGACACACCAGGTTCGGGCCCGAATCGAAGAGCGGCTCCTCAGTGCACACCAAAACTATGGGGAGCAACGGTTAGGCAAGTGCACTGGTGCATTATAAGGTCACTCATCCCAAGGAAAGTTCAATCCAAGAAATTGAATTTGCGATAGCACAGAGCGGAAATAGTGCAGAAGACTGTTGTCGATGGACCCTGTGTGTCCATCTTACTCTGGGTAATTTGCAGTGGTCATATCATAGTCAATGCAAGGGTGAGTCATACAGACGCCAGAACTTAATCACCAACTTCGGACCTCTGTTCATGGTTGCAATGCTTCGGAATCTGTGGAGATTTCAGACATGAGCTGGAGCGAATTGGCGAACTTATTGAGCGGTCACCGAGCTGGCGCAAGGGATGAAATGAGCCTATTTGCTGAGTCTGTTGACAGCAGCTTACATGCTATCCTAGGCCTTGATTTCCAGCACTCTAGCAACAGCGCTCACAACAGCCAGATCTGTTAAAATCTTTTTGAGTAGCCCGAAAGCTCTGCAAAAGGCCGGGTTGAGGAGAATTGTAGCGCCTTAGCTACGGACGAAGTGGACGACAGTGTCTACTCATTTGCCGCGGGGCGCGTCCCAGGCCACTGGCATGACCGCGAAAGCTCTTCCAGCCAGCACTGTCCAGCGCTTCTGGCCACAGGTCAATGCTGTTCAGAGGCTCGACGTTGGCGAGCATGCGCCTCTTTTCATTCTTTACTTCACTAAAATTACCTTAAAGCAGAAACTCCTGATGCCTTACATTGGCGAACTACTGGACACACTACACGGATTGGCATTCCACTCGACATTTGACTTCAGACACGTTTTTGCAAATCCCCATTCACCCGGATGGCAGCTACGAAACGGCATTCCACAGTCGCACTCGCAGACTCGACTATTTCTGTATGGCATCCAAGCTTGGTAATGCTCTAGGTAAGCTAAGCTGGCCAGTTGATTGAGATTGTTAGGAGCATATAGAGAAGGGGTGGGTGGTTGTCACCAGAGTGGAAGTGAGAGTTGTCAAGGAGACCAGGGGCTGCTTAGGTGTAGCGCTTCCTGGCACACTATTGTCCACGACGCGCAGCTGTGGCCACAAGTGCGACTCCCACCTATTTTACCATGGCAAATCAAGGAGGATTTCGTTGTTCACGGGTCCAACATGAAAGCCACTGACTGCGCTGATAGGATCATATGTTGAATTAAATTGCGTTCACTAATCCTTGCAAGTGCCGCGCGTCAGCAAGCTTGATCATTAGGGAATGCGCTCACTCAGACTGCAGTTTTCCACCTTCTCCGAAGATAAAAATCCTTTTCACATCGGGTAGAAAGTAACGCTAGCGGCTAATGACAGCTATAATACACTCGAATTAGCACAAAAGTGACCTTATGGTGGGTCCACACCTGCGGCGCGATCCTTTCTTGCAAGCCGCCTTCAGTGCGCTGCAGCCTGCGTGTGGGTCTTTCCGTTTCCCTGTTGAGCCTTCTTCGCTCGTCAAGCAGCTTGATTTCTTTTGGCATAGTCTCGTTGCTTAAATTCCTTGAATTTTCCATTTGTTTGCAGCTCTGGAGTATATAAAGCAATCTTTGAAAATAGAAGCAAGCACGTTGTTGTTCGGGGTATCTGAGGCTCCTTAGCAGCGCGGGCTTCCTCTGGCTGGATTTTTCGTTGACCTTTGACTGTACGCCATGTCCGGTTGACGCAGTCCCAAAACCTGTGAGTTATAATGTCCCAACTTGACGCTTCCCCTTTAGTCAAAGACGCAGAAGGTGCGCTCGTAAGTTTTTGAATCCTTAAGTATTCCATCAATTGTAGAAGCCTCACCCCCCCCTTGTTCGGTCGCTGAGTCGCTGCTCACCTTGCGACCACCTCACCTAGCACTTTGGGTACGCTTCTTCTGTACCACCCATGAAGCAGCTTCCCGTCTACGTTATAGCTTTTGCGAGGCACAGCTTGATATATCGAGATATGCTAATCTACTAACAGAGTCTAGTCCATCTATACTCTTAGTTCTATTGAAGCTTGCTTTTTGTGCTAATCTCGGCATAAACGGATGAGTCAAGGCTCATATGAAGGCTTGACCTGTAATAATTTCCTGCAGAGCAACGATTTACCATGCATTAGAAAAGGCCAGTATTAAAACGCTCCTTCTTCCACTAAGCTAGCGGCAGGGACCCCTCGTTTGCCTTCATCTGGAGCGTGCAGAGAGAGGTACATATCCCACCGGCTGCTGAAGGCCTTGAAGTACTAGCCAATCCTTACGGCCGTCATGCTTTCTGGCCGTCATAGGCTCATCAACGCATATGCGGGCCTTTTTCTGGCGGACTAATGATATGTTGTTACCAAAAACAAGGCTACAGCGTGTAAATAAGCTTGCAGGCTGTCTGCTGCCGCCCCAGCCGGTGTTCCGCCCCTGCCACTTCCCATCGCCTGAGCACTTTCCATCCAGACAGTTGCTCAAGAAAACCCTCTATTGATTTACGAAGTGCAAACGGCTGCTGCAGGGAAGGCTAACATCCCGCTATATCGAGGAAGTGAATGAGCAGGGAACCACGGAACCATGCGGTGCTACAATCTGTAAAGCTGCATTTAAGGTCTCAGTAGGGAGAAAGCTAACCTCAGACTCAATACTTTTATACATCGCTATTGAGCGGTATTAATCTATCACACCTTGCCTCCGCTTGTCCGCGCCGCTCAGACTTCCCAACATGAGGGGAGAGAAAGAGCTTAGGTGCGCGTAGGTGCACCCTGTATAGACCTTGAGCATTCGCAGCTACATGCAGACTACATCTCGAGCGCACTCTCGCAACACTGCGCCTTGTTTTATTGTGATGATGGTACTCGACAATAGATTACATAAGCAAAAAGACAAACTATTTAGCTAATTCTTAATTGATCCTTATTTAATATAATTTGCGAAGAAGATAGCGTTTATGCGTAGATGGGCTGCTACGATTTGCTGTCAAGACCTCATACAAAGCTTCGCACCCCGGCTGCTTTCCTTGCATTCAGTTAACTCTCTCAAGACCAAGCACCCCTTTAAGCCCGCGCCGCTTCATGCAGCTTAGAGTCCCCGCAGAATTTGTCTCTTCTTACAAAGCTTTAGTTTAGTTTAGCGTTGACAACAGTTGCCTCCTCATAGAAGCAACGATGCCCCTCATGCTTACGGTTGCTGCACCAGCCGCTCCGACGGGGGAAGGGGCGGCATTCAGCTATAGACACATAGCAAAAGACGATACAGGAGTACTAAATAGACCTCCTACGTGGGCTTGTCAAAGAGGCTTAGGAATTTACAAGTGGAGAATCTCTAACAGGTGAGCCCACTACCAAGAGATCCGTGCTCGAAGGAGACATAAAACGCTTACTACAAATGGACTTGCCCAGCCTTTTACACTGCACAGAATCGAAGTATTATATCAAAAAGAGTCAAGTAATGGGCGTGTAGGGGCAAGCTGGGGGTAAGGTGAAGCGTGGCGCACAATGATGGGTCAGCCTTGCAGGAAGTACACAATTTAGGGGTGTGGGAGGAGAAGCAGGAAAAGACCAGGAGTGGCGATAAGAAAGACGACAAGCGCAAAACTACAGGCAAACATGAAAAGCAAGAAGCGTTAGGCAGCAGCTCGAACTGAAGGAAATGTCACTAGTCCGATGCCTGCACAGGTGATAATCCACATGCCCCAATATCAAAAGCAGCACTTGTAGCACCGTGGGGCAGAAGTAAAGGAGCTAGGTGGGGATTACGAAGGGCTAGTCGACTCGTTAGCCCAATAATGTCCGAGGAGGGTGGCTCTGAACAGTCTGCTGCTCGCTCAGCGCTGCAAGGAGCAAAGCTGCGGCAGAAACGCAAAAAGGGAGAAGAGGAAAAAGTCTGTAAGAAGTGGCCTCTGCTCGGCGCCAAAAAGTGAGGTCACGACAAAGGAATCGCCATAGTGCTTCGGGGACTCGAAGAGAATAAAAGCGAGGCGGGGGTGCTGTGCAAATGAATGAACTTGGCGTTTTTGACCAATGAATAACAAAGGGGAAGTGGAAGAGAACGAGTCAATTATGTAGTCTTATTGGCTGCCTTTGGATACCCAAATGAGATGGAGAACGACAGGGGACAAGCCATGCAAGAATGAATGCAGCAAAACACAGGGAGAGGTACAAGAGAGCTGCCTACCCCCCAACATCCACAAGCAGAGATTGCGCCGCTCCGCTAGGAACCTGAAATGCGTAAAGCAACAAGCACCTTTATTCCGAGTTCGTCTGTGTGCATTTGCGAAGTAGCGTGTATTGTTCGCCAATTCAAAACACTGGAGTTCGCAGTCTAAGAGTACATATCGACACCATATGAGCTCAGCACGCAAAACGGACGAATCGGCATACCAAACAGGCATTGTAGACTTTTTAAAGAGCAGCCAGTCCACTCCCAGAAGGCCCACACACGAGGCGCAGCAGAGGTAAATCCCGTGCAGGGGCTCGTCGTGCAATAGGCCTTCTCACAATCAGAGGACACCCCAGTGGCCCTTAACCCTGGTGGCAGGAAGGCTCCAGATTGACGCTTTTGCAGGAGCGAAGATATCCCTGAGCATTCTTATTGCTGTCATGCAAAGCATCGGGCTCCACTGTAGATTGGTTTAGGGCTTGAGCGAGCTTGCACCCTTTTAGGACATGTGGGGGTGCATCGTGCAGTTTGAAGTTTGGGTCCGGAAGTATGTATGCGCAAGGAATGTCGAGGTTGAAATTTTAGAATCGTTTCGGGGACACAATCGTATATGACTACCAAGGGAGGAGCCATACCGCAGACGAGAAGCGAATGAACGACAAAGAAGAGGGAAACTCCTAGACGCCCAACGATATAAAAGCCTCTATGCTGGCGCTGAATTAGCAAGCACAACATACAAGAGCGTGTATACTGACGGCCTCGGGATATCAATAGCACAAAAAATAAGTTAAAGGATATGGTGGGTTCAAAAGCTAGCCTATGATTTGCGGCGTGGGCGACAGGGTCCACGATTACCTGTGCGGGGAAGCCGAATTCCGCAAGCTGCAGACCCGCGTGGACAGCGGCCTGTGACGAACAGAGATACTAAGCGCTGCTCCCTACATAATAAGCCCCGTAATATGATAAAACTGACCCGTGCATGCAGATAGTCGCGAGTCCTCCTCGTTTACCCTAAGGCGTATACATGAGCGGTAGCCACGACCAGCAGCATTTGCACTCGCACTTTGTGAAGCTGCTTGACCAGATGCGCCATCGTATACGCAACTGGGGGAGAGGGGACTGCTTACATTTGCAGTTAGAAGGGCAGCAGAATAGGCTATTAGCGCAGAGAGACAATCCCTGGCAAGGTATCCAAGACCAAGTGCTACAGCGCAACATCAGAAATTTCTCAGTGGCAGCAGCAAATATCTCTGCGGCAGCCACCACTTCCGTGCCGCAAACGGGGGCTGGAAGCTTTGCGCAGCTCGGTGCGCCTATTGTTGGGTCTGGAACTTGATGCTTTGGAGTTCATTTACGTGGTAGGATATGCACTCCCAATGCCATGCCGACCAAAGGTGCCACTGGTATAATTCTCAAAAAGAGGACTTCACGATGAGGGGGCAGCACCCGTCGAGCCCAGGCCGGCAGCATATCCATCTGCTCCACTGCGCGACCCCTCTTGTCGTTGATGGTGGCTGTGGTGCTGCTACCGCTACTGCTAACACTGCTGCTGTTGCTTCTACTAGAAGCCCCCATAGCCGCGTAATCTGCTGGATACGCGACGCCCTCAGGCAGAGAAGCATGATGCGATTCTTTTGATGCTGCCAGCTGCTGTTTTTGCTGCTGCAGCTGGTGATTAGTGGCTAACGCACGTGTATGCAAGGTGGAGCGATAAGACAGGCACACAGGGACGTACATCGAGAGCTCAGAATGCCGTGATGGGCATCGCTTCCCATGGGGGTCCCCTTGCATCCTGGACCTCTTGGGGACTTCAAAAACAGCCAAGGGGTCTCTCAAGGCGTCATTACCATGAACATACATCAACCTGCTTCCGAAGTCGCTCCTGTGGTCCATCCATTGCCTTTTGTTGGAAGTGCAGTTACTGTCTCTTGGGTAGCCGTACCAGGAGGAGCAGTCACTGCCGCAGGACGCCCGAAGAAAGGTAAGGAGCCTCCGCGGTGGGCAGCCGCAGACTCCCTGGCCCGAAAGAAGCGGCGAGTTTGAAAGGTAGCAAGTTACTGCGTGTGCTGCTCGTGCAGCTTCACGCATTTTCACTGTGCTGTCTCGGCCGTCAAAGCCGCTATTCCGAGCGCCTCACAATCCAGAGTGCTGGGCGATGGGGCGAAGAATACTGTCTCTTCAGAGAGCTACAAAGGCTTCTTCGTAGCCTCTTTGCTGCATTGATGGATGTTCGCTCTCGCACTTAGGAAACTTCTGCTCCGAATAGGGGTCTCCCGGCAGCTCCTACGGGCCCCTGGGGATCTTTGTTGTGGATGAAGGCAATGTGTTGCTTCAAACCAGAGTTTTTGTAGAAGCAAATATAAGTCAACTCTAAGTGTAATATCAAGCAATTCGTAGGAAGTACCGTACGCCCTATTTTGGAAGAGAGGATTGTGGGGGCCCCCGAAAACCCCCGGGAGGCCTTAGTAGACAGCGCTAGGCAGCGTGTTTACCTGTTGTATCTAGTTCCCAATTCAACAAAACAAAAAAACTCTAGGGAGTCGATAACTGGAAATATTTCAATGCATTTTAGCAGGGTAGTTGCTCCTCTTGGTGCTGCGAAGTGGAGGAGAACAATATGTGTGGTGCAGGCACCGCGTCGCATAAAATCCGCAAGACAGCAACACACGCCGGCAAATAACCTTCTGCTTTGCTTCTTTTCTTCCTTTAATGTCATTCCGGTTTGGTGCCGCAATGACTGTAAGATCAGCTCACTAAGGGTGCACTCATTGAAACCATTCGCTGCCCAAGGGGCATCTGCAGCATCAAAAGTAACAGCAGGAGACCTACTGGGAGCAGCAAGACGATGCAGGGCGCCACCACCGTTCTTCATTGCTTTGTGAAGCTTCTGGCTCTTGTGCTATCTATTACCGCAGCGGTGAGCGCGGCGAATCCGTATGAGGTCGCGGAATCGTACATTGCCGCGACCTCAGCGGCAACAGCAACAGTAGATGCAGCTGCAACAGGTGTCTCAGAGATTTTAGGGCAGCAGAAATACCCTTCGCGTGCCCTGACTGAAATCAGTCTACGCCAGCACGATCAGCGGGAACAGCCAGACCACACACAGCAGCCACAAAAGCAGCTGCTGAAACAGGATTCTGCTTTCTCCCTTCTCTGGATGACGGACATTCACCTCGATCACCTTTACGATGTGACAGCGTCCATCTCTAATTTCTGCCACGCGCCTTCTGAGCCCCCCCTAGAACCGCGTGGGAGCTTCGATGGAAGTCCCCTGTACTTGCAGGCACGGAGGCTCATGAGCCTCTACGCTTCAGAGGAAAGCCGGTCGCATCCTCGCCGTCAGAGCCTTCGTGCAGCGCCAAAAGAAAGCGCAAAAGCTACAGAATCAGCAGCAATACATCCAGGAGAAACAGACCCGTACTTGGGAAGGGCGGGATGCGACTCGCCGCCAGCCCTTGCAATAAAGGCTTTGCAGTTTGCTGCATCTCTTGCTCGTCTAAGTGATCGACGTATGGCTGATGGGTCTGCTGCTGCTGGCAGCACATGCTCCGTGCCTCCGGGTTGAGTGTAGCTGGTGCCATCACTGCATCGGGTTCTGCCGACGATGTTGTCGCTGCGGTTGCAGAGATACCTGCTGCTACTGCTACTGAGAGCGAAAGCTACGTGCTGCCCCCCGTAGCTGCACTGCTGCTCACTGGCGACTACGCCGCGCACTTTGCAGACTCGCAAGTTGGCAACAGGCAAGTACTAAAACTTGAGTCGTGAAGCTACATCATGACCAATATTTGGTATCCCCACGCCCTGCCTAAGAAGTAGCGGGCTCTGGCACGCAGCTCCGCGCGTTTCTCAGGTGTGCTGATGCTCTGTAGTGGCTCTGCGGCTACGCTGATAAGGATGCTGTTCTCACTGACCGTTGTGGCCGTGGAGCTCCCGCAGGCGGGAGGCTTTGAAGCAGTGGACCGCTGCTTTGCTTCGCCAGTTCCCTCAAACTTGCACCGGCGCAGCAGCTTCTCACCAAGAGCTTTCCCAGCAGTGCACGCAGTTGCTGCTTGTACCTGGGAACAATGATATGTCAGCAGACTACTTGGTGCCCTCCGCGCGTCCCGAGTGGACCACGTTCCTTTATGAGCTGTGGAAACCCGCATTGCCAGCAGATCCCGAAACGAAGGAGGTAAGATATTGCCACCCCTGAGGCAGCAGAATAAGCTTAAGCAGTTTTAAGAGGAGCAGCAGGGGCAGAGTTAAGGAGGACTGGAACAGATGCAGTCATCTACATGTGGCTTTTTATGAGCACATTGGCCAGCGCCATTTGTAACAATTTTCAAAAGCGCAGAGACGACTTTTCCTGTGCGTAAGTATGTATGTATGTGAGTGTGTGTTAATATCTGTCAGACATTTATGCGTGGCCTTTACTACAAGACGCATCTGTGGACGGTTCCTGAGATCAGGGTTTTGTGTCTTAACACTGTCCTATATTCCGTTGATGCCAAGAAGAAGCTGGAACGCCTCAGGCTCCCAGCCGCTGTCCGAGCTGAGGCACACGAAGTTGATCCAGGTGCTCTCACCCTCCAGCTTTGCCATGTACTCTAATATTCAGGGGTCACAGTCTCGCTTTCAGGGTTGAGGGCTGTGATGGTCTGATGTCTACCTGCAGCCGGGCAGTTTGCATGGATGCGGCAGCAGTTGCAGGAAGCGAGAGACTTGGGAGAGCAGGTATGCCTCCGCCTCTCCTTTAATTCCATGTGGATTCCTAAATTGCCCATGTAAAGCTCTTTGAAGGCTGTGTAGATGCTCTGGGGACGTTTTGAAGCGCTCAGCTGGCTTAATAACTGAGACGTAGCCGACCTGATAAGATAACAAGTAGCGATATTATAAAGCTACTGTAGGAGACGGGGCTTCATATTGGGCCTACATCGCCAATGAATGCGGCTGCCGCTGGTCGAGGCTCTGGTGTTGTTGTCTGTGAATTGTGTGGAACAAGGTGATAATTGCAGCGCACATCCCGCCAGGCTTTAATTCTCATCTAAGGCTCGGCTTCTCCGAGAAAGGCTTGTGGATCTCCCGGCATACTGAAATGTGGGTTGTAGGATATAGGTCTTGTTGTTGGGTTTTTATCTCAGTGCCCCTAGACAAGTGAAGCTATACAATCGTGGGCATGGGGCCTCTTCTGATAGCTCTCTGCTCCCGCATCCCGCAAACACAAGCGCAAAACTGAATATCGCCCACCTCCGCTGCAATAAGCGGCCATCCATCCCAAGCCCCACCCTTTGACAGTGAGATCGCCGTTTCCATGTGAATCTTATTTTACTTGCAGGTACCGCTCCTTAGTCTCGGATTTTTCAGACGTTGTTATCTCGCAAGCCTTTGGGCATATCCACTTTGGGAGCGTCCGGGCCCTCATACCCAAGCCAGAAAGTAGGGGCCCTGAAGCCCTCACCGCTATGCTAGGAGCTCCAGCAGTTTCGCCTATTCATGGAAATAACCCGGCAATAGCTGCCCTGGTGTTTAGGCAGGCACCCACTGAGGGGGTCGAGATGGGGAAGCGCCGCCTGATTCTCTCGGACTACGTGCAGTACAGTTTGCCCTTGTACGGGTTTGTGGGAATGGCGGGTAGGGGCATCCACGTACCTGAGTTCGGGTTTGAGTTTAGCCTGCACCAGGCATTTTTCCCTTTCATGGACCGAATGCGTCAGCTGTCCCCAGCTTGGAACCAAAAGAGGAAGAGCCGGGATCCAGATGGGGCCCCACCCCAGATCGATGGAGCTCTTGCAGTGAACATAGGAAAGGCCATTAGGACTTCCCCAATGTTCTTCGCTCTCTACGATTGGCATGCAGCGGCTGGAGGGCTCCGCATTTCAAGTAAAGTTCGTAGCTGCGAGGTACTGTCTCTTATTGACGAGGAGCTGAAGGAGTGTCTTGCTGACACCGAATACTACGTTCAATCCTCGGAGCCAGAACTTTAAACAGTTTCCCTAAATCTTCACATCTACTAGTAAAACCTATTCTCAAGACCTAATCCGAATCCCGGACCCATATTAAGAAGCTTAGCCACAGTCTATGTCGAGGGAGCATTTATTCTGTACTGGTCATCCGAAAAGGCTATGCCAAGAAATGAACGCATCCTAAGGAGACCACAGGCGTTAATGCATGTGTGAAGCAAGGATTTTTATTAGGTTTTGGGACTACCGTGCTGGAAGGAGGTTTGGTGCCAGTCGCTGCGCCGAACGCTCGTTTCGCATTTTACTGTTGTCCACTTGTAACCATGAAGCTGAGACCTTGAATATCTCCTTCTCCTTAGAGCCATCCTATTCGCTATCTAGCTGTATGCGTCTTGTGCTGTTTGCCATTTTGTCGCTCTCTAAGCTTCAGCTCTCTTTGGCTTGCTGTTCCTTTGCAGTTCAGTGAAGCACCCTTTCTCTCACTCTTTCTACCTCTCTCTCTGTCCCGATACCATTTTTTGTTTTGTCGTCCATGTTCCCTATTTCTGCTCTAGTACCTGCCACTCTGCTGCGTTCTTACATGTTTTTCTCAATAGCGCCACCCTGACCTCCTCGCCCTTTAGAACTGCAACTTTTATGAGAAAATTCGTCTATTACTCTGGAAAAACTGGGATGTTTGACCCCTCTACTTCACCAGATTGGCGCTAGGTAACTAAGATTCTGTTGATCCCCAAGGGGGTCATGGACTTGCAGTGCGTTAGGGGAACACTGCAGACCCAGCAGGTGAGAAATAAACATACCGGGAGCCTTGCACGCATACAGACCTTCATTCAGCCAACGAATCTTACTTTAGTATTATCGTATATGCCTACGAGTCCCTTATGAACACGCAACAAGACCTAGCCGGCAATTGAGGGCTACTTGCGCTAATGGCGCAGAAACCCGTGGATTTGCGGGCACCGCTAGTCTCCAAAGGTCCACGGCTTTCTGTACAACTCTCCTATTAAGAGGGCCTCTGCAGGGGCTCCCATTCACCCATCGACGGCTGCTAGACACTAGCTGCAGCGGGTCAAGTCACGCTTTGAGAGGCCACCAAAAGCCAATACGTTTTTTTGCCGTCGACATGGACTATAAGGTTGGGTGTAATTGCATTTAATTTGTTGTGGATCAGGGTTAGTTCTATAGTGTGTACCTGCTCTCAAAGTGCGCGGATTTACTTACACCTCACAGCGGTGCAGCTGCTTGCACCAGGCCTGTCTGCCTCCCCTCAGGCGGAAATTTTAGTTGAGGGCAGGAGGGTGGATAACTCCTTTGATGAAGAAGATACCAGCTCTTAACCAGGTGTTGATAAATTGGGCCTAGGGGCCCGTAGTGAGCTGTACAGGAACACTTATCGCAACTGTACAACACTGAGTCGCATCTCGCTGAAAATTCCAATTGCTACTTTCTGTATTAATTCCTTGAGCGGTCAGCTGTCGAAGCATGCTTTACAACGAACGTGTAAATCAAAGGCCCGAAGTCCAACCACATGGCAAAAGTCTAGCAACCCAGGCCGACAAAAAAATACCAGCCAGCTGCACACATTTTAGTGCCGTACTTTCTAAATGCACTTAATTTGCTCGTTTAACGGCAAAACCCTTATATAGCTGAAGCATTGTATTCCTCTGAGTGCAAAGCTACTGCACTTCGCGCGGGATGGCGCGAACAACCTTAGCACACAAACAATAGCGCCATGCTAGAAGTTGTGGAGAGGAAGACAACAGAAAAGCAAGCCGCACACAGTTTATCTACCAGGAGTAATCCGTGTTTGACTCTGGTAGGAGAAGAATTACGTCAGAATATTTTTGCGCGTGGCTAAAGCTAGCCGGCTCGATGAGCAGGAGCCCACCTGGTCTTCTCACCTCTGCTTAGTTTCCTACATTGCCAGCGAGTTTACCTTGGACAATTGAATTGTCAAAAGAATTGTTTTGATTAAATCTTCAATTTTCTGCTGTAATTCCAAGTTTCTGGATCAGGTGTGCTCGCTCTTTCACCTGTATGCATCCCTCTGTTTCGCCTGGAGGAAGGAAAAGGAAGGAGGAGATTCTTATAGTTTTAAATGCATTCATTGTATCATGCGTGAACAAACAATTCATTGAATGAATATCACCTTGTTAGAGCATTGTGCAGAATTTTGGGCGAAAAGAATGAACGACTTTTTATTTCCGCACGTTTACAACGCGTTGAGACAGCTCGTGTGCCCTTCTATTTTGCCCACGTTTATTCATTTATTCTTGGTGGAGATCTTGGTGGCGTCTATTTATGTGGTCGTGCTTGTTCCCTTTGGCTAGTTTCAATGTTCCCGACGCTACTATCTGCTCCGTATGGTATCTCCGTTTTGCCGCAGTTTTCCCCCCACGCTTGATTCCTCTTCATTGATTTTCAAAATTCTGCTGAAATGCCGATTGGAGAGGGTGAAGCGACATGGCGCCTTGTCTACGGGGAAGATCCCTTGTTCACAAAGCCGGAGACGCGCGTGTATATGAACAATATACCCAGCGGCCTGACTGAGGTACAAAAACAGAGCTTCTGCTTACTTTGCATACCGTTTCATCAACAATAAGTGAACAATGGGAGCGCATGCATCCTAAGCCCAGTTAATTTGCTTAAAACGTGTGTATTCAAGACATGCAAAGGAAGAAAACACGCAGCTGCCTCCCTTTTGTCTCTTTAGCCACGAACAATGTAGTGTCTTCTCGCGTGCCAAATTACAGATGATCTGAATGAGTTATGCGTGTGACTCAGAGCAACAGTTGTCGAATAAAAATTTGCGTTGCATGTTTATGTGTTGTGCTTTCCACTGCAGCCCCACGGCTGCTTGCTTATATAGAGTTTGTACACTGTTAGATATGAGGGCGTGCGTGCATCTTTAGGGCCAGTTTGCCTTCAAGTTGAGGACTTTATATGGCCCCCTCCAAGTTCACTATTTCCATCCTGGAGGAAGAAACGATGGCTTTGCCTGGGTTGGCTTCAAGGACGAGCAGGCAGTCAGAAAGCTCCTCAGTGGGGGACAAAAGTAACAATTCAGCAGGAGCATGCACAAATGGGTTCCCCCAGGACACCGGCTTCACGAGACGGCGGTTGATAGGAAAGCAGAAGAGTCACTGAGGACTGCGTTTTCGGTTGTGTATGTATCTGTTTTCGATTTCACGTGAAAAAAAGTCTGCATGTAGGTACTTTGTACCAAAAATGTATTACGCCCATAATATTTCTACGACTCGTGTATTAAGGAGATAAATGAGTTATTGAATTATAGAATGGGGGCTGGGCAATCGTCTGCCTTCCAGTGTTCGAGCTGAAGAGGTGTAATTTATAACCTATCTGTTTAATTTTTGGCTGTTGCACCAGATCCAGTGCAGAGGCCCCGCACTATGTGCTGTATTCGCTGCTCCCCAGTTGGTGTGGCTTTTGTTTGCCTAAATTTTCCCTCTAAGTAAAATATTTGAAAGGTCTAGGCTACCCCAGATTTTTCGACCGACTGCTGGGGTATATCCTTGTGTCCGAATTAATCATTGTAGATAGTTCATGAGTGGGAGATACGAAAGTGGCCATCCTGGTGGGTTCACCGTTCTTCCTCCTCCGTATGCATCAGAGGGCAGGCCTGCAGGTATATTCCGCTGCAGCATGCTAAGTCGGTACTGACAAGAACTACGCCGGCGCCTGTTCAAGAGATGGTGGTTACTCAGCAGCAGTGTACAACAATTTGTGTAGGGCACTCAGCTGCTGCCTACTCTAGGCAATTTGCGGGCCACTGTCGCCTGAAACTTTTACGTTTCAGTCTCGAAGACACTGCTAAGCGCCCCCCATGGCGTAAAGATCAAAGGCAGTCGCTGCTCTTGGCATTTCGTAGGTGGCATCAGCTGGACTTCTGCGAGTGCTAAATCAAGAAAGGAGACGCCAAACTGGAGTCGGGAAATCTGCGTGAACATTCTCTGCCACAGAAGGGAGCGGTCTGTACTTGTCACGACCGTCATATCGAAAACGCACTGGAAGCAGAGTTAACACTTGATTGCTTTCGCAAGTTCTCATAAAGTAGACTACACTTCTTCCATTGTCTCAGCACCAACTTCTATGAAGTGACAACTTCATACGCTTTCGAATGAGCCGCTGAGTATCTCTGAGGTCGCGGCTCGAAATGAGTTGTGCTAAAGCTACCTGAGGGCAAATGAATCCCTCCCTGGTTGGTGACCTTCCGTTACACTACAGAAATCTCCCATGGTAAGCCTCAGTTTAGCTTTTCACACGCGACCTCCCGAGGAAAAACCAAACTCTGTCCTCAAAACATAACTAAAGAGAGCTATTGAGTGTCCTTCCGAGATAGCCCCCGCCTTCCCCTATCTGCGCTCCCCCAGGAATCGACATGAGGGGAAGGGGACTGTTGAGATGCGCTTACCTGCATCCTCTTAGCAATCCAAGCATTCACGCTCACTATCCAGTGCATACGCACATGGCGTGGCGTATTTTATCGAGCAATCGCTACTAATCAATATGTAAGATGTACGAACGATCAATGATCTAATTGATTCCTACTAAGTTGTAATCAAAGAGAACTAGTGCAGTAGAAAGCCCTTAATAAGATACCCCGCTAAATCTTCCCTCCTGTTTCAGAAAAGCATCCCCGTCCTCCGGACCTTTCGTTCCAGAGCTGTAACATGCACACCCGAGAAAAATTTTCCGCACCTTCACCATTTAGGCATGCAGAAACGCAAAATGGCTTAAGCAGAAGCATCGAATAGGGACACAACCCGCCAAAGGTAGTGCGATGGATGGCTCTCGTCGAAGCAGAAGAATCTGTGAGCCTCCCGCTACGAAAAAAATGACGTTAGGTATGTAAAACTCAAAATATACCCTAGATTAGCAGCGCCTCCGTGTCTCAAAGAGAAAGATATGCAGCATCATAGAATGTTTCCAATTCCCAAGAGAGGCATACGAAAAGTGTAAGCAAGATACCTGGGAGTGCTTGCATTAAAATCTCTGTAAACGAC